TTAGTATTTTCCTTTACAAGATTAAATGGAGTAACTGAATGATGGGATGATCCACGGACCATTCAGCTCGTCCATTTGTTTTCTCTTTTTTTTCTTGCCAGTCTGTTTTAGAAATTGTGCAGAATCTCTTTTCCTTTGTCCACTTGTGCCCTTTCCTTCGCCCTCTCCCCCTGTACTGTCCGTATCCTCGTACCAGGATGGATTTATACAGCACCAATCATTTTCTTTTGACAGTTGTCTCCGTGTTGATCTCCTGTATGTTAAGCATGCTCCTTCATGCTGTCTGTCTTCAATGATGTGACATGCTGTGAAATACAACTCTTCCTTACTCCAATTTCTCTTTATCTGACTTTTACTGGACCGGAGCACATTTTCTTCTTGCAGCAGCAGTGGTGGTTAAGTTTCGGTTTCTCATCAGTTTAATCAGATCCTTAATGAATCTATTCTAATTTTCAGTTCTGAGCTTTCCTTGGCCTCACTTCTTGACTTCATATAACCCACCGATCTGAATAGCAGTTTTTTACTTTTCTTTCCTCTGGACAGGGCTGAACGCTCTATTGCATTTCTGCTCTCCTTTCTCTCCAAACATGTCTTTAGCTGCTTCAATAGTTTTAGACTAAAGCTTCCATTTTGCAGGAAACCCACCAAAAATACCAAATTGTTCCATTAATGTTTAGGCTAATATTTTTTTAGTCATCAAGTTCAGAACTGGGGAAAGTAATCTTGGAGTGGATTCAGACTCAGTCCTCGCTTTACTCTGACACTTGCCATAATCTACTCTCCCTGGTCAGTCTCTACTCAGGTCCATAGCACTATTTGGGTCCACTGAGTTCGATTAAGTCTGAGGCGCTGCAAACCTAACTTATCAGCTGGAAACCCCCAAAACTCTCAGACACTACAGAGAAAACCAGGACACTTCTGTCTGCGGCCACTTTGATCCAGTTACACTCTGGACCCACTTGTGCATTTACAGGTGGAAAGAGGATCCTGCAATCTCTCAGGCACAAGATTTAAGACTCTTCCTTCACTCTGTTCAGTCTCACTTTCTTTATCTTTTAACTCAATTATCAACTCATTTCTCAGCGTATAAGTTATTTTCCTTTCCTTCATGGATGGGCGCGAAGATCAGGGCTCCGCTGAACACAGCTTCTCCCTACTGGGAGGATTTTCCAAAAATAAGCCGACTTCTGTCCTTCAACGGAGTCCGAATCCCTCGTCTGTCCTATCTGAGGTGCCAAATTGTCAAGGAAATTGCATGTTGCTGGTGAGGGATTAAGCAAATAATTGAGTAACAACCAACCGTTGTCTTTGAAGAATTTATTAATAAAAGGGAATAAACAGAAAGGGATGCATAATCACTTACAAAGTCTTGGTGTGTATGTTTTGGGGAACAGAGATCGTCTCTCTCTGAATGTACATTCCAGGAGAGGAGAGGAACAACAAGAGGGGGAGAACAGCAAAACAATCTCACAGCTCTGACCTAAACCCTAGTAAATGTGGACGGACCAACATAAGGAGTATAGGAGAGGAAAGGTTAAGGATAAAAACACACACACACACACACACACACACACACACACACACATACACATATTATATATATATGTAAATAAATAAGACATAACAAAATTAGTAATAACAATAATAATAATAGTCAAAGAACATACTTAGAAATTAAATATAAGAGGACACAATTTTGTGACATAACACTGACAAGCCATATTTTTATAGTGACAGTGGTGAAGCAAAGTCCTGACAGAGACAACAATTGTGATACAGATAAATAAATATATATATATAAATATAAAGATGTTTGTCCTCTGATGTCTGCAGATATTGAGACACATTTTGGACAAACAGGGACTGAGCCTGATTAAAACAATGTGAAGATGGAAAACGTCCTGCTGGTTGCAGCAGAGGAGGCTGCTGGTTCTGTTGGTCTTCCTCTGACTGGATGAAACTGGACTTGAAACTGGTTTCACTTCCCTCTCTCAGCTCAGTTACCATGGCAACAGACAAGCATCACTGATGAACCATCAGGTTTCAGTACTAAAGATAAAAGTGTGACGTTTTACTGTAGTGTAAATTTTGATCACCAAAACCACCAGATGTTGGTGGTTAACTGTGAACAGGAGAACCAGTTAGAACAGGTCAGCTGATAGAAAAGTTAGTTAGTTATAACTTCTATTGTTAGTTTGTGTTAATCTGCATGAGGATGTTTTAAACAGGCAGCTGTCCCAGCTATTTTGAAATAGTGAACAAGTGTTCCGGTGAACAAATGTATTTTACTGTTGAATCCAAAAATGATTTATGAACTGTAAGAATAATTAGATTTTTTCCCTTTTTCATTATTTTCATTTGTCTTGTGGTTGAGCTCTTCAGCAGAAGCCGTATGTAAATATTTCCAGCTATACATTTGAAGATCACACTCATTTTGTAACTATGCCGATGATACACTACTTTTTATTTCAGATGTATAAAATATTTTTCATACTAGTTATATTTGAAGAAGCATGCATATTATTTGGGAACAACTAAACTATTATCATATTAGAGAGTCTTTAACAAATGTTATTCAGTGATAAGACATGATTGTATGACTTTTCATTGAAATTTTCCTACCTTTTGGTTTTGTTCCAAAGATTTATTATTACAGACAAATCTGTAATGATTATAACAGAAAAATGGTTTTACAATCATGAAGGTATTTTAATTGATCGGAACAAATACTGGATTTCACTGGTTTGTACTAAATAATGAAAATGTAGAAGGGAGTTTTGTTTGAGTGTAAAAATTCTTTATTATACAGTATTTAAGGCTATACATTAAATAATCTTACTCATGTTTCTGTCAAGATTTTCTCTGGATGTAATACAGTCACTGACACCATAAAGAGAACAATTATTAAGACACTTTGATAATAATAAACATGAAAACAGCTGATTGGATGAAAAGGTCTTTATTATCTGGAAACACTGAAGTAACATTGAAACAGTGCAACAAGCTAGTAAATCTTGCTGTTGAAAGATGTCAAATAAAAGAGAGAGACAGTTCCAGAGTGCAGAGTGAGAGCAGGAGCAGAGGAAAACCAGTAGCAGAGTCCCAGTGAGTCAGGTCAGGACTGGGAACACTGGTCTCTCCTCAGTGTCTCTGAGAGCGGAGTCTGGGAGCCCTGGGTGGCCTCACAGGTCACAGAGCCCACCTTCCTCCACTGGTCTGCAGAGAGCCTCAGGGTGCTGCTCCAGCTGTAGTGGCCGTCCTTCTGCAGCACCCCGGGGCTCCTGCTCTCCTCCCAGCTGCTGCTGCTGCTGCTGCTGCTGCTGCTGCTGCTGCTGCCGTCCACCTTCCAGGCCAGACTCCAGTCTGAGGGGAAGCCCTTGTTGGCCAGGCACATGAGCGTGGCCTTCCCCTGCTGCAGCTCCTCGCTGGAGGGGGGCAGCACCGTCAGGGTGGGACGGACATCACCCACTGGAGGAGGAGACAGAGAGACAACATGAAGAAAGTTCATGCACAGAGAAAATAAACTCCACCCTGTTGGTTGCAGCAGAGGAGGCTGCTGGTTCTGTTGGTCTTCCTCCGACTGGATGAAACTGGTCTTCAGGGTTTCACTTCCCTCTCTCAGCTCAGTAACCATGGCAACAGACAGGCATCACTGCTGAACCATGAAGATAAAGTTTCAGGCGGGAAACTCTTTCTTTAGCTGAATTAACAACAATTAAAGACTTTTATTTGTTCTTCAGATTTTTCAGCTCAAATCCAAACTCATCAGAGACGGTGTGTGTTTGCTCTCTTCATTTACGCAGACATCACTACTGAACCACGACAACAGATGGACTGAACTACTGAAAACAGTTTGAAGTGCTACAAATGCTTTTTCCAGATCAAACAAATATTCTACCAATACAGCATGTGATTAAACTAACTGCAGTGATATTATGATATTCATTGGTTATAGTGAGGATGTGACATGTCGTTAAATTCATCAGTCTGGGAGGAAGACTGAGTAAAACACATTCACTGTTTCCAGATAAAACACTCACTAAATAAATGCTTGATAGATTTCTTCAGCTGAAATTGGAGATTATTACATTTAAATCAATTCAGTATATTTTGTTTCAGTCAAAGTGTTTCAACATAATTTCTTTTCAGAGGACAAAATTAGGAATCAATATATTTTCATTAATAACTAACTGTAGTTTTTAAGAACAGTAAAATTATAAGAATGTACAAACTGTGTAAATGAACATTTTAAGTGTAACTAAAGAGTTTCTTCATCAGACAGAATTTTCAGAATCACAGTGAAGTAATGGTCACTGCAATAATATTAAATTTCAACCATCAACCCACATCTTTAACTAAAGCTTGTTTTTATTCAATATAAAAAGAATATATAGAGAATCTGAGTTCATGTAGAAGTCAAAAGTACTTACAGTTAACATCCAGTCTGGTTCCTCCACCGAACGTGTACCACAGTGATACAAACTGATTGAGTCGTCGTACAAAAACCTCTCACTGTAGAGAGACACGGCTCTCTGACTTTGAACACAACAAACTCAACAAAAACACTTGCTGTTTTTAAAAGAATGAACTATTTCATGTTATATTTATCAAACAGTAACACAGTTGTTGAGAATGAATCCCATTTTTACGTATATATTGTTCCATTGGTCTGAAAGTCAAATTGATCCCTCTAGAATGAAATGAAAGCAGACAGAAGATGTTGTAAAAGAAAATCTTTCTGCAGTCATCAAAGCAAATGTCCATAAAAATGATCACTGACACATTCCTAATCAATCCTCTGGTAAACGTATTGATCCATTGAGAAGCAGCATCATCAGAGTAATCCAAGTCCCTGTTGGAGTCAGTCAGAGCATTTCCATAGAGAGCCACTTTGCATCAGCAGCACCATGCTCCAGTGCTCTGGGAGACTTTATAGTCCTGAGAGTTGAACACTGGATGACTGACAGCTGTCCTTCATGACAACAGAAGCCACAGAAATCCTCCTCATCAAAAACATGACTTTGGTCTCCGTCCTCATCTGGACTCTCCTCTGCTTCACTCAGGGTGAGGAAAATCATTTTTCTGTGATGTGAAAATCATTTGGAGTGTAGCTGAGTTTCACCTCACCATCTCATGTCCAGTGTTTCTTCTCTCTCCTCAGGGTCTGTTGGACAAAATGTTGTCTTGACTCAGCCAGCAGCCAAATCAGTGCAGCTGGGTCAGACTGTCTCTATTGACTGTAAGGCCAGTCCAGCAGCTGCTCACCACACTGGTTCACAATACTACCTGTCCTGGTACCATCAGAAAGCTGGAGAAGCTCCTAAACTTCTGATCTACAGAACATCAGACAGATATTCTGGAATTTCCTCCAGATTCAGTGGAAGTGGAGCAGGGAATGGAGTTGACTTCACTCTGACCATCAGTGGAGTTCAGGCTGAAGATGCAGCAGTTTACTACTGTCAGAGTTATCATAGGATCACACGTTGGTTCTCTGTGACCAACGAGTTCACACAGTGAAAAAGCGTCGTACAAAAACCTCCCTCAGTCAGACTGAACAGAAACTGAACTGACTGCTGCAGCTGGAAGCTACTGCAGAGACTGATACAGTTCACTGAGGACACACACACACACACACACACACACACACACACACACACACACACGACTTGTGGACCCACAAACCACAGCTGACTGAAAACAGCAAGCAGAGGATCAAACTTGTCTGATGGCTCTTAAATTTCCTTCAGTATATTAATTAACTGCATTTTAAATTCACTTGTATCAAACACTGTCCACTCACCAAATATTCATTTCCAAACACATGCTTAGCCTGGTTCCCCTGTTCTCCTGCAAACATCCCTCTGACCTCCATCTGACTCGGTTGACACAACATGAAGGTAGAAGTACATTACAAATTCACAGAATTGAAAACATAAACTATATGAACATATACTGATTAATGTGGCCGACCATAAGTCCAAAAAACAGATCCCTTTACTATCTTCTACCCCTACACTTTATACAGACAGACGCTTCAGACACTGATCCACAAACCTCTGACAGTTTGTCTAATATTATAAAACTAAAGGAAAAAATAACTCGTCTTTTAGCGTTAAAGCTTTTTGAAGCACGATTTGAGCGATCTTAGGAAGAAGCATCCAAAAGCTGTCTGCCTGAACAATTCTACAATGTTTTACTGCTGGAATGAACCAAATGGGACACATTTTGCTGCCTCTCCCACTGCTGGCTGTTTCATTTGTCTTAGCTAGTAGGACATCATCTGTGAGCGCTGGATCATCCAGATCATTCTTAAGCTGGTATTTCACATTATCACACATCAGTCCTGTCCCCACAGCTTAGACATTTCCACTGGATCAGTTCAGGGCCGTATTGGTCATCTGTACCAGGCTCCCTGGATGAAGCTAAGAGTCTCTGTTTCAGTTCTATTGCCCTAAATAGGACATTTTGTGGAGACTCATTACTGTCTTGTGTAATTTATATCAGAACTAGAATAGACTTTAAATTTTTTTTGATTACCTTTAAAGCTCTTCGTGGCCTCTCTCACTGTTATATCCCTGACCTTTTAGTCCCATACCCACCTGCACATATCTTGAGATCCTCGGGCAGAGGTCTTTTGTCCGTTCCAGAGTCTCGACTGAAAACTAAAGGGGACAGTTTGCAGTCAGTCTTCTTAAGATACATTTATAGAAGAGCATATTCCTGATACAGACAAGCCCATTTAATGAGGCAAAATGTGACATTAGTGAGGCCGTCCATACTGAAGCTAATTAGCCTACTTTGAACGTCAACAGTTAGTTAAATACCCCAATAATCCATATTTTTCATTGGTATTTTTTTAGACTGCTCACAGTTTGTATATTTATGATTTAAGGAAACCTTTTTAAAACATCATTTAGACATAGTGGCAGGTAGCAACACGTAGGTTTCAGTTCTTGCAGCACTTCACTAGCCCTGAGTGTGCAGTTGCCCACCTCTCTTTTGCTTTCAAGAATGGACGTCATCACACCCTCATTTACTAAAAGGAGAATCACCAAGCTGCTCTCAGTCATTGTTGAGTCCCCACACCCTGTGCAACAGGTGATCTGAATGATCCTTTAATCAACCCAGAGGAACGCTGACATTCAGCCAAAATTTATGGGAAAAGGGAAATTAAATGGCAACAAATACATAAGAAGGGACTGCAACATTCCTGATCACCTGGGGATTCTCACTTACATCTGTTCTGACTTGCTAGGAAGCTTTTTCATCTTCACTTTGATCTATAAATGACTGAACTGTCCCTGTGTGCCCTGACTGTCTAAGTCTGAATCCTCCTCCCTCTGCTGAATGAATTCAACCCAAAGACAGTTTGAGGTCAATTTGAAACCTTCAGAAAAAATAAAAAGCTTTTTTTAAACAACCAGAGTGAAACTAACAGAAGCTCAGATTTGAAAATAGAAATTGATTTTCTATTATTTTAGTGTAGTATGTGACAGTTGTCTTTACTTATGTTTTCTGTATTTCTGTCAAGATCACACTTATAAAACAACAATCACAATAAGACCGATGTGGTAAACTAAATTTCAGAGGGAAACATTTGTTATTATTCATTTTGAATTACTGTACAGCGTCTTAAGTGTGTTAATCTCAATGAGGATGTTTTAAACAGCAGCAGAGTCAGCTCCACTGATGTAGAGACACAAACCAAATTCACAATATATCAAACATCAACGTCCACACATCACACTGAAATCTCAGCACACTGAAGCTCCATATCTGCAATGCAACAAATGTTTTCTGTGGCAGAAACACTGACGCTCAGAATCATAATGGATTCTGGGCCACAGTTCATACAGTACATGTCACTGAACAACCTGTTTGTGGACCAAATGCCTCAGATGTCACCTCACACTTCACAAGCCCATCACAACAGCTTTCTGTAAGGGAGGAGTTCATTGAATCAGCCGACCTGATTTCCTTGGACAGGCTGTTCCAGAGCCTTGAAGCCGAGGAGCCACGAGCGAGGATACACAAGAGCAGCCTTCAGGGAAGTCTTTTACTGGTCGACACACCCGCTTATTATCAACAACAATTAAAGTCAGAGAGGCTTCCTGTCAGCAAGAAACACGTTTTACATATTTTATCACTTCCTTTCAGTCACATGTGAGGCTGATATAGGATAGGGGCAGTATTAATTCACTCCATGGGAACTTGGCTTGGGAACTGGAGGGTTGCAGGTTCAAGTCCACATAGTCAAAGGTGCCCCTGAGTAAGGCCCTGAACCCTAAACTGCTCCCTGGCTGTCTGCCCATTGGTCCTAAGAGTTTCCCTTCATGGATTAAGACAGATTAGATATAAAAATGATCCTAAACATCGGCTTTGATACGAGTTACATCATTTCAGTTTCCCCTGATACATCTGGCCTAGTAAATCACCACATGTTCAAATGTGGGTTAATCAATAATGAATTTACAATCAGAATATCAATAAATACACACATTACAAATACGTCATATAAAGACATTCTGCCAATAGAAATGATCCTGTGCCTCTGAGCAGGACGCAGTAGGCCGCTACAGTAGCTATAACAACATGTTCTCATCTCAGGTCATCAAATAGGCCTGACAAAATGATCAGCTGCCGCCGGCATCAGAAACAGAGGTCGCTGTAGAGGCCTGTACTACGAAGCAGGGTTTGAGCTTAGCGAGGGAACTTCAGGAGTAACCCTGGGTTTTCACTCCTAAAATGCTGCTTCAATTCTTACCGCAGTACATCACCATGGTTACTTTTGCCAAACATCTGGACACTGCAGCTGTGTTGCTTTTAGCCTGGAGGATGTGTTTGACTTCTTTGTATTTGTCTAATATTATACTTTGCTCTTCGTTGGTAAAATTTGCCTCTCTGCTGCCAGTGGGCTTTTCTAAGTTTGCGATCGGTCATCAGCTGCAAACACTGCCCTTTTTTATGTGATCTGATTGTTTGGTTTAGTGAAGCCAGATAATGAAACGATATCCTGGGTATATTGAACTACCTGAAGATTCAGAGGAAAGGACATTTCATTTCTCTAAAACACATATGTGCTCTTATCTTCTCTTCTTGCATGGTTTCTGTCTGAATTTACATACAATATATTGACAAGTTTTGGGACCCCCCTCCGAATCACTGAATTCAGGTGATCCAATCACTTCCATGGCCACTGGTGCATAAAATCAAGCACCTAGACTGCTTCCACAAACGTGTGAAAGAATGAGTCGCTCTCAGGGGCTCAGTGAATTCAAACGTGGTACCGTGATAGGTTGCCACCTGTGCAATAAGTCCATTTGTGAAATTTCTTCAATGCCAAATATTCCACAGTCAATTGTTAGTGGTATTATAACAAAGTTGAAGCGATTAGGAGCAACAGAAACTCAGCAATGAAGTGGTAGGCCACATAAAATCACAGAGCGGGGTCACTGCGTGCTGAGGCGCACAGTGCGCAGAAGTCGCCAACTTTCTGCAGAGTCAATAGCTATAGACCTACAAACGTCGTGTGGCCTTCGGATTAGCTCAAGTACAGTGCGTAGAAAGCTTCATGGAATGATTTTCCCTGGACGAGCAGCTGCATCCAAGCCTTACATCTCCAGTGCAATGCAAAGTGTCGGATGCAGCGGTGTAAAGCACGACGCCATTGGACACTAGAGCGGTGTAGACGTGTTCTCTGGGGGGACGAATCACACTTCTCTGTCTGGCAATCTGATGCACGAGTCTGGGTTTGGTGGTTGCCAGGAGGCCGGTACTTGCTGAACTTCATGTCAGTAGCTGCAGTGTCGTAGCGCAGGGTCAGTAGACAAGGCAAGAGTGCATCAAAACCAAGGGATTTCCGTAAAATCCAACCCTGAGTCTTCCTCCAGATTTCCTCCATATAGGAACTGGCATACTGGCCTTCAGAAGTCACAATAAATCCCAGTAAGTGGATCGTTTTTGTGTGTGAGGTTACAACCTCTTCACCCACAGGCAATGAAAAAGTGATTTGTTAATTTTTTTAAAACTACGTATAGCCCCTTTAAATCCAACTGAAACCTATTGTGCAGGACACCAACTTTAGCAGTAAAGGAGCATTTTCAACTAGCTACTATAACATGTCTGTGAAGGTTCTCAGTCATCCAGGTCATAGTTATCCAAAGAAGGTTAAAGTCAAGGCAACTGGACTTGGTTGAAGATACTGGAAAATGTTTTGTCTCTCATCCAAGAGACTTCTTGATCAAGCTATTTAACCTCTGTGGGGTCGTTAGCTAGGATCATCGATACCGCTGGTACGTTAGTGCTCCTGGCTGTGGTAACAACATCGTTGGCATCTTCACCTGAGGCCAATAGGTTACGCTTGTTGAGTTTCCTGGGAAGTGATGAAAGGACAGCATTGTAAGTGGGGGATAAGTGGTGGCGTAGACCCCCTCCTCTGTTCAGCGACAGCTTCTCAACCCTGGTGTAAATGGCTTCCTTGACACCTCTTTCAAACCATCCATCCTCTCTGTCTAAAATGTGCACCTGGTGGTCCTCAAACGAGT